TGATTTGTTTCACACTAAGGCCTACCAAACCTGAGAATATGAGCGGAATTTATTTTTTGGCTGTTGCCGCAATATGTTTCACCATTGGGAACATCCGCTCTTAATCGCCAAAAAAGTAGAATCTCATTATTTTTTGTAGAATCTCCAGATATTTTTTCATGGGTATCCAGATTTTCCTTCATCAGGGATTGCCATTGATTGTCTCCTCCCATGTCTTCATAACCAAAATTGGCAAGAAAAACCATTGTCACAAAATAGCATCATTTCAGTGTAAGACCTCAGTTTTCGTCGAAAAACTTCTGTAATGTAAAGCCAAATATAAGCGCAGTTTTGTTGACATTCTCACCTGTTTCCCCATCGGTCCGCATTATTTTTTGAGTCACATCACTTTTTAGGTTTTTCCGAATTACACTTCATTTACTGGGCTTCAAGCAAACAACAATCAATGGTCTTAGGCTATGCAAGATTAAATTTACTTCCAATCAATGAACATATATATACAATTGTGACAAATTATCCCATTGCTTTTTTTCACATATTCATTTTGCTTCTATTTAACCAACTTAACTTCCTGACTAACATAACTTTAAATAACTGATACCCAAAGCCTCCAAAATTAAAAAGTTACTAAACTTCATTTTACCATCTCTTATCTACATCTTGTTTGTTTTTTCTAGGTTAATGAGCAGGAGCAGATGTCTAGTCATGGTGAAGAGGCAAGGGTTCAAATGAAACAAAATACAATTGTATTACTCTTTATGACAACTGTAACTGTATTTATTTTCTGTATCTAACTTCATTTTACCAGCTGTTAGTTTTCCACTACATGCCATTAAAAGTAAATGCAATAAACAAGTGATTGTTAAATCGTGACATTGGGTTTCAATGGCAGTTCTTGGCCAATCGCACATCGCAGTCGGGATTGCGACAGTGCAAAAAACTACAATAGCGAGATCTACAACCAGGGTGCGCTAAGAAGAATTTGTCAGAGAGCAAGGATGCACGCAGCTCCTTGGGCGAGAAGTTTTACCTGAGTCACGCTTACTTCTGTTTCTTAGTGAATAGTTAAAAACTGATTATCCTAGATACACGTGGTGGTTTTAGTTTTCATTGGAGTTCAGAGTTATAAGCACAAAATCGATCTTGTGATGGAGTTAGTCTTCTTTTATCGTCCTTTATTTTGCATTTTGTGTTGAAATGACTGTTACATTGTGGCATTAGGATTTCAATGGTGTTCCTCAGCAGATCACACATTTCTGAGTACATGTGTCACAACAAATTATTCTTGCAGCACTGTAGTTGTTTTGTATACATAAGTAAGCAGATTAGCGAGTTGATTTAGTTTATTTGGAAACTGCATTAGGTGAATTGTAGAAAATATCTGTGCCTTGAGTTTATTATGATGAACAAAAGTTTTCGTGTGAAGACGTTGTTGGGATGGTGACTTTTGCTGTAAAATTACTTACAAGTTCAGAGAGCAGAATTCTTTGATTTTAGAGAGCCTAGGAAAATTATTTATACTTTAAGATTGGTGCAGGCTTTTGTTAGCAAAGATGGTATTTTAACATCAAAACTTACCCTATCAGTTTTTGAAGCTTGTGTCTCATAGAGTGGAGACTAACGCATTAAGACACTATTCATGTGGGAGAGACATGTGACTGTTGTATGAAGCTCTTGAACTACTAGTGTAACAGTTGTTTGATACATTGTTTTTGACAGGAACTCAATACATCATTTAACATTTTCAAAAAGGGTACATTCTCTGGAAACTGGAGCTATGTTAAATTAGAGCCAATGTTATTGAATGGAAATTATACAATGTCGTACATCATGGGATTGTGGGGGAAAGGGGGAGCTAACTTATCGCAAACCCAAAGTGAAAGTTATACAATGTTGTACATACATTTTACTTGGTAGATAGATTAGCAACCCATCGGTGTCATCTGCATAACTGTGGGGACGAGATAATTATTAAAGTGCACATGGCAGATCAAATTCCACATTCACCAAGGAAATTTTAGAAAAGCAAAAATGTCCTGCTGTGCTGTAGATTTTTTTGTATTACATAAGTATGCAGCTTTGCCGAAGACTGTATTTCCGGTGTGTTGGTTAGAAAAATGATTTAGTTTGGAAATAGAGACCATCTGGAACCGTATACTTTATTTTTAGATGTTCACGCTTTCATTGGAAAAAATGGAATTTCAGCGTCAAGGCATGTTTACAGAATGTGGCAAAACCACTGACCTTTCAATTAGTGAGTTGTTTCCGTGCATTCTACAGTGGCGTAAAGCAATTGTGAGGGAGTTTAATGGTGTTTAATTTTTTTAGGTTTGTTCAGAGCTTTCAAATTTGAGTTTAAAAAAAGTTTATGTATGCATGTATGTCAATGGAAAAAAGAAACCAAAAGAATGTTGAAAAAAGAAACCATTCTGTGGTGGAAGCTTTCATGGACAATGCAAAATGTGGTGGAAACATGAGCCATACCTATGTTAGTGAATGGAAGTTATAGGATGTTATACATATATTGAACTTGCTCCACACATTAGCAAGTCATTAGTGTGTCTTATTTTTAGCCGACTAAATCCACAGCTTTTCAAGTGTTACACCATTCAGGATTACTTTCGTTTCTTAGTGTTAATAGTTACAGATGGTTAAAGACTGATTGATGTAATAAGATATCCTAGATGCACCTGGTGGTTTTTAACTTTTATCCTAGTTCGGAGTTATAAGCACACAATCACTTGAAATGTCCCTTACAGTGCAAAAAAATTACAACAGCAAGATCTAAAACCATAGTGCGCTAAGAAGAATTTGTCAGAGAGCAAGGATCCACGCAGATCTTTGGGCGAGAAGTTTTACGTGAGTCAGGCTTACTTCTGTTTCTTAGTGAATAGTTAAAAACTGATTATCCTAGATGCACGTGGTTGTTTTAGTTTTCATCGGAGTTCAGAGTTATAAGCACACAATCGATCCTGTGATCGAGTCAGTCTTCTTTCATCGTCTCTTATTTTGCATTTTGTGTTGAGATGACTGTTAAAATCGTGGCATTGTGATTTCAATGGTGTTCCTTGGCGGATCACACGTCGCTGAGTACATGTGTCAGAACAAATTATTCTTGCAGCACTGTAGTTGTCTTGTATACATAAGTAAGCAGATCCTCTCCTCATTAGCAAGTTGATTTAGTTTATTTGGAAACCACATTCGGTGAATTGTAGAAAATGTCTCTGCCTTGAGTTTATTATGATGAACAAAAGTGTTCGTGTGAAGACGTTGTTGGGATGGTGACTTTTGCTGTAAAATTACTTACAAGTTCAGAAAGCAGAATTCTTTGATTTTAGAAAGCCTAGAAAAATTATTTATATTTTAAGATTGGTGCAGGCTTTTGTTAGCAAAAATGGAATTTTCAAATCAAGGCTTACCCTATCAGTTTTTGAGGCTTGTGTCTCATAGAGTGGAGACTACAGCATTTAGACACTCTATTCGTGTGGGAGAGACATGTGACTGTTGTATGAAGCTCTTGAACAACTAGTATACCAGTTGTTTGATATATTGTCTTTGACAGGAACTTAATACACCATTTAACATTTTCAAAAAGGGTACATTCTCTGGAAACTGGAGCTATGTTAAATTAAAGCCAACGTTATTGAATGGAAGTTATACAGTGTCGTACATATTAGGATGGTGGGGGAAAGGGGGAGCTAACTTATCGCAAAACCGAAGTGAAATTTATACAATGTTGTACATACATTTTACTTGCTAGATAGATTGGCAACCCATCAGTGTGTCACCTGCATAACTGTGCGCACGAGATAATTATTAAAGTACACATGGCAGATCAAATTCCACCCTTACCAGGGAAATTTTAGAAGGGCAAAAATGTCCTGCTGTGCTGTAGATTTTTTTTTTGCATTACGTAAGTATGCAGATTTGCCGAAGACTGTATTTCCTGTGGGTTGGTTAGAAAATAATTTAGTTTGGAAATAGAGGCCATCAGGAACCATATACTTTATTTTTAGACGTTCAGGCTTTGATTGGAAAAAATGGAATTTCAGCATCAAGGCATGTTTACAGGATGTCGTAAAACCAGCAACCTTTCAATTAGCGAGTTGTTTGTGTGCATTCTACAGTGGGGTAAAGCAATTGTGAGGGAGTTTAATGGTGTTTAATTTTTTTGGGTTTGTACAGACCTTTCACATTCGAGTTTAAAAAAAAGTAAGTTTATGTATGCATGAATGTCAATGGAAAAAAGAAACCAAAAGAATGTTGAAAAGAAACCATTCCGAAGTGGAAACTCTCATGGAGAATGCAAAATTTGGTGGAAACATAAGCCATACCTATGTTAGTGAATGGAAGTTATAGGATGTTATACATATATTGAACTTGCTCCACACATTAGCAAGTCATTAGTGTGTCTTATTTTTAGCCGACTAAATCCACAGCTTTTCAAGTGTTACACCATTCAGGATTACTTTCGTTTCTTAGTGTTAATAGTTACAGATGGTTAAAGACTGATTGATGTAATAAGATATCCTAGATGCACCTGGTGGTTTTTAACTTTTATCCTAGTTCGGAGTTATAAGCACACAATCACTTGAAATGTCCCTGTGGAAATGATGGATCCCAAAGTGATCATGGTGTTATTACTGTTCTTACTGTTTTTAAGTTATTATGATTATATTTATTTGTTTGTTTTGAAATATTCACTTCATGGGTGCCTTTTTCATTTCAGATCGTTGGGTTTCATGGCACAGGAGCTGTAGTGAGATGTTTTGAGGATAGAAAAGAGAATGAACATGACCTGATTTTTCAAATCGGCAATGTTTGAGATTTTTTCCCAAAATGTCCTCAAGAAAATAAAAAGAAGAAAAAAAGGGCATACCAATGTCTAAGGTAAGTCTCTGAACATTCAGAATAATAGAATACTGATACTCTTTCTAGGTTAAGAGAAATGGTAATGACAAACACGCCAGCCCCACGCAGTTTTAAAAATGGACCTTGCATTTTCTATCAAATTTGCCATATTGGACGCACGTATTTCCTCAGACTGGTGACTCATTTAATGATTACCTAACGACCTATTTTCAGAGGCTTTTCACATAAACTTTATTGGACAAAGACTATAAATATAGATACAGATAAGAATATCAATGAAATGAATAAAGCCCAAAAGGAGAGGGCTCGAACAGGACACTGAGACCCATGTGAGGCACCTACCCATCGTGTAGACTTCATTTTGGTCAAAATTATATGGTGAAAGGATTTTAAACTGACAACAAAAAACGGTGAACCATGTGGATGGAAAAACTGAAATTTTAATAGTCAAGTTAGAAAAGTACCTTGAAAACAGATTTCACAACTACAATGGGACATTCAAGTAGCGAAGAATGACCTGATTCTGTAGAAAATAAAGAAGTTCTGCAAGGTGAAATCTAGGTAGTTAAATATTAAGCTTTTTGTGCGCTTCAATGCAACCGCACGAGACACAGCTGACAGCAACTTTCATATGATGTGAGTAAAGAATTTCTCCCTAGCTGATGTGACAATATTGTGTGCGAGGTATTCTTCAGTTATGTTTGCTTTTCATGACAACAGTTTTGTTGATTTTTTTTGTTCGTTTGTTCACAAGATTGCTTGGCGTTTCTTACAGGATTGCTTGGCAGCAAGAACAGATGTCTAACCATGGTGAGGAGGTAGGGGTTTAAACTGTATTTACTTTCAGTATCTAACTTCGTTTTGCTATCTCGTATCTACACCAGGTTCGCTTTTCCTAGGCTAACGATCAGGAGCAGATGTCCGCCATGGTGAGGAGGTAGGGTTCGAATGCAACAAACGACAATTGAATTGCTCTTTACTGCAACTGTATCTTTATTTATTTTCTTACTTAACTTCATTTTACCATCTCTTATCTACATCTCGTTTGTTTTTTCTAGGTTAATGAGGAGGAGCAGATGTCTAGTCATGGTGAAGAGGTAAGGGTTTAAATGGAACAAAATACAATTGTATTGCTCTTTATGACAACTGTAGCTGTATTTATTTTCTGTATCTTACTTCGTTTTACCAGCTCTTAGTTTTCCACTACGTACCATGAAAGTAAATGCAATAAAGAAGTGATTGTTAAATCATGCCATTGGGTTTCAACAGCGGTTCTCGGCTGATCGCACATCGCAGTCGGGATTGCGACAGTGCAAAAAAATTACAACAGCAAGATCTAAAACCATAGTGCGCTAAGAAGAATTTGTCAGAGAGCAAGGATCCACGCAGATCTTTGGGCGAGAAGTTTTACGTGAGTCAGGCTTACTTCTGTTTCTTAGTGAATAGTTAAAAACTGATTATCCTAGATGCACGTGGTTGTTTTAGTTTTCATCGGAGTTCAGAGTTATAAGCACACAATCGATCCTGTGATCGAGTCAGTCTTCTTTCATCGTCTCTTATTTTGCATTTTGTGTTGAGATGACTGTTAAAATCGTGGCATTGTGATTTCAATGGTGTTCCTTGGCGGATCACACGTCGCTGAGTACATGTGTCAGAACAAATTATTCTTGCAGCACTGTAGTTGTCTTGTATACATAAGTAAGCAGATCCTCTCCTCATTAGCAAGTTGATTTAGTTTATTTGGAAACCACATTCGGTGAATTGTAGAAAATGTCTCTGCCTTGAGTTTATTATGATGAACAAAAGTGTTCGTGTGAAGACGTTGTTGGGATGGTGACTTTTGCTGTAAAATTACTTACAAGTTCAGAAAGCAGAATTCTTTGATTTTAGAAAGCCTAGAAAAATTATTTATATTTTAAGATTGGTGCAGGCTTTTGTTAGCAAAAATGGAATTTTCAAATCAAGGCTTACCCTATCAGTTTTTGAGGCTTGTGTCTCATAGAGTGGAGACTACAGCATTTAGACACTCTATTCGTGTGGGAGAGACATGTGACTGTTGTATGAAGCTCTTGAACAACTAGTATACCAGTTGTTTGATATATTGTCTTTGACAGGAACTTAATACACCATTTAACATTTTCAAAAAGGGTACATTCTCTGGAAACTGGAGCTATGTTAAATTAAAGCCAACGTTATTGAATGGAAGTTATACAGTGTCGTACATATTAGGATGGTGGGGGAAAGGGGGAGCTAACTTATCGCAAAACCGAAGTGAAATTTATACAATGTTGTACATACATTTTACTTGCTAGATAGATTGGCAACCCATCAGTGTGTCACCTGCATAACTGTGCGCACGAGATAATTATTAAAGTACACATGGCAGATCAAATTCCACCCTTACCAGGGAAATTTTAGAAGGGCAAAAATGTCCTGCTGTGCTGTAGATTTTTTTTTTGCATTACGTAAGTATGCAGATTTGCCGAAGACTGTATTTCCTGTGGGTTGGTTAGAAAATAATTTAGTTTGGAAATAGAGGCCATCAGGAACCATATACTTTATTTTTAGACGTTCAGGCTTTGATTGGAAAAAATGGAATTTCAGCATCAAGGCATGTTTACAGGATGTCGTAAAACCAGCAACCTTTCAATTAGCGAGTTGTTTGTGTGCATTCTACAGTGGGGTAAAGCAATTGTGAGGGAGTTTAATGGTGTTTAATTTTTTTGGGTTTGTACAGACCTTTCACATTCGAGTTTAAAAAAAAGTAAGTTTATGTATGCATGAATGTCAATGGAAAAAAGAAACCAAAAGAATGTTGAAAAGAAACCATTCCGAAGTGGAAACTCTCATGGAGAATGCAAAATTTGGTGGAAACATAAGCCATACCTATGTTAGTGAATGGAAGTTATAGGATGTTATACATATATTGAACTTGCTCCACACATTAGCAAGTCATTAGTGTGTCTTATTTTTAGCCGACTAAATCCACAGCTTTTCAAGTGTTACACCATTCAGGATTACTTTTGTTTCTTAGTGTTAATAGTTACAGATGGTTAAAGACTGATTGATGTAATAAGATATCCTAGATGCACCTGGTGGTTTTTAACTTTTATCCTAGTTCGGAGTTATAAGCACACAATCACTTGAAATGTCCCTGTGGAAATGATGGATCCCAAAGTGATCATGGTGTTATTACTGTTCTTACTGTTTTTAAGTTATTATGATTATATTTATTTGTTTGTTTTGAAATATTCACTTCATGGGTGCCTTTTTCATTTCAGATCGTTGGGTTTCATGGCACAGGAGCTGTAGTGAGATGTTTTGAGGATAGAAAAGAGAATGAACATGACCTGATTTTTCAAATCGGCAATGTTTGAGATTTTTTCCCAAAATGTCCTCAAGAAAATAAAAAGAAGAAAAAAAGGGCATACCAATGTCTAAGGTAAGTCTCTGAACATTCAGAATAATAGAATACTGATACTCTTTCTAGGTTAAGAGAAATGGTAATGACAAACACGCCAGCCCCACGCAGTTTTAAAAATGGACCTTGCATTTTCTATCAAATTTGCCATATTGGACGCACGTATTTCCTCAGACTGGTGACTCATTTAATGATTACCTAACGACCTATTTTCAGAGGCTTTTCACATAAACTTTATTGGACAAAGACTATAAATATAGATACAGATAAGAATATCAATGAAATGAATAAAGCCCAAAAGGAGAGGGCTCGAACAGGACACTGAGACCCATGTGAGGCACCTACCCATCGTGTAGACTTCATTTTGGTCAAAATTATATGGTGAAAGGATTTTAAACTGACAACAAAAAACGGTGAACCATGTGGATGGAAAAACTGAAATTTTAATAGTCAAGTTAGAAAAGTACCTTGAAAACAGATTTCACAACTACAATGGGACATTCAAGTAGCGAAGAATGACCTGATTCTGTAGAAAATAAAGAAGTTCTGCAAGGTGAAATCTAGGTAGTTAAATATTAAGCTTTTTGTGCGCTTCAATGCAACCGCACGAGACACAGCTGACAGCAACTTTCATATGATGTGAGTAAAGAATTTCTCCCTAGCTGATGTGACAATATTGTGTGCGAGGTATTCTTCAGTTATGTTTGCTTTTCATGACAACAGTTTTGTTGATTTTTTTTGTTCGTTTGTTCACAAGATTGCTTGGCGTTTCTTACAGGATTGCTTGGCAGCAAGAACAGATGTCTAACCATGGTGAGGAGGTAGGGGTTTAAACTGTATTTACTTTCAGTATCTAACTTCGTTTTGCTATCTCGTATCTACACCAGGTTCGCTTTTCCTAGGCTAACGATCAGGAGCAGATGTCCGCCATGGTGAGGAGGTAGGGTTCGAATGCAACAAACGACAATTGAATTGCTCTTTACTGCAACTGTATCTTTATTTATTTTCTTACTTAACTTCATTTTACCATCTCTTATCTACATCTCGTTTGTTTTTTCTAGGTTAATGAGGAGGAGCAGATGTCTAGTCATGGTGAAGAGGTAAGGGTTTAAATGGAACAAAATACAATTGTATTGCTCTTTATGACAACTGTAGCTGTATTTATTTTCTGTATCTTACTTCGTTTTACCAGCTCTTAGTTTTCCACTACGTACCATGAAAGTAAATGCAATAAAGAAGTGATTGTTAAATCATGCCATTGGGTTTCAACAGCGGTTCTCGGCTGATCGCACATCGCAGTCGGGATTGCGACAGTGCAAAAAAATTACAACAGCAAGATCTAAAACCATAGTGCGCTAAGAAGAATTTGTCAGAGAGCAAGGATCCACGCAGATCTTTGGGCGAGAAGTTTTACGTGAGTCAGGCTTACTTCTGTTTCTTAGTGAATAGTTAAAAACTGATTATCCTAGATGCACGTGGTTGTTTTAGTTTTCATCGGAGTTCAGAGTTATAAGCACACAATCGATCCTGTGATCGAGTCAGTCTTCTTTCATCGTCTCTTATTTTGCATTTTGTGTTGAGATGACTGTTAAAATCGTGGCATTGTGATTTCAATGGTGTTCCTTGGCGGATCACACGTCGCTGAGTACATGTGTCAGAACAAATTATTCTTGCAGCACTGTAGTTGTCTTGTATACATAAGTAAGCAGATCCTCTCCTCATTAGCAAGTTGATTTAGTTTATTTGGAAACCACATTCGGTGAATTGTAGAAAATGTCTCTGCCTTGAGTTTATTATGATGAACAAAAGTGTTCGTGTGAAGACGTTGTTGGGATGGTGACTTTTGCTGTAAAATTACTTACAAGTTCAGAAAGCAGAATTCTTTGATTTTAGAAAGCCTAGAAAAATTATTTATATTTTAAGATTGGTGCAGGCTTTTGTTAGCAAAAATGGAATTTTCAAATCAAGGCTTACCCTATCAGTTTTTGAGGCTTGTGTCTCATAGAGTGGAGACTACAGCATTTAGACACTCTATTCGTGTGGGAGAGACATGTGACTGTTGTATGAAGCTCTTGAACAACTAGTATACCAGTTGTTTGATATATTGTCTTTGACAGGAACTTAATACACCATTTAACATTTTCAAAAAGGGTACATTCTCTGGAAACTGGAGCTATGTTAAATTAAAGCCAACGTTATTGAATGGAAGTTATACAGTGTCGTACATATTAGGATGGTGGGGGAAAGGGGGAGCTAACTTATCGCAAAACCGAAGTGAAATTTATACAATGTTGTACATACATTTTACTTGCTAGATAGATTGGCAACCCATCAGTGTGTCACCTGCATAACTGTGCGCACGAGATAATTATTAAAGTACACATGGCAGATCAAATTCCACCCTTACCAGGGAAATTTTAGAAGGGCAAAAATGTCCTGCTGTGCTGTAGATTTTTTTTTTGCATTACGTAAGTATGCAGATTTGCCGAAGACTGTATTTCCTGTGGGTTGGTTAGAAAATAATTTAGTTTGGAAATAGAGGCCATCAGGAACCATATACTTTATTTTTAGACGTTCAGGCTTTGATTGGAAAAAATGGAATTTCAGCATCAAGGCATGTTTACAGGATGTCGTAAAACCAGCAACCTTTCAATTAGCGAGTTGTTTGTGTGCATTCTACAGTGGGGTAAAGCAATTGTGAGGGAGTTTAATGGTGTTTAATTTTTTTGGGTTTGTACAGACCTTTCACATTCGAGTTTAAAAAAAAGTAAGTTTATGTATGCATGAATGTCAATGGAAAAAAGAAACCAAAAGAATGTTGAAAAGAAACCATTCCGAAGTGGAAACTCTCATGGAGAATGCAAAATTTGGTGGAAACATAAGCCATACCTATGTTAGTGAATGGAAGTTATAGGATGTTATACATATATTGAACTTGCTCCACACATTAGCAAGTCATTAGTGTGTCTTATTTTTAGCCGACTAAATCCACAGCTTTTCAAGTGTTACACCATTCAGGATTACTTTTGTTTCTTAGTGTTAATAGTTACAGATGGTTAAAGACTGATTGATGTAATAAGATATCCTAGATGCACCTGGTGGTTTTTAACTTTTATCCTAGTTCGGAGTTATAAGCACACAATCACTTGAAATGTCCCTGTGGAAATGATGGATCCCAAAGTGATCATGGTGTTATTACTGTTCTTACTGTTTTTAAGTTATTATGATTATATTTATTTGTTTGTTTTGAAATATTCACTTCATGGGTGCCTTTTTCATTTCAGATCGTTGGGTTTCATGGCACAGGAGCTGTAGTGAGATGTTTTGAGGATAGAAAAGAGAATGAACATGACCTGATTTTTCAAATCGGCAATGTTTGAGATTTTTTCCCAAAATGTCCTCAAGAAAATAAAAAGAAGAAAAAAAGGGCATACCAATGTCTAAGGTAAGTCTCTGAACATTCAGAATAATAGAATACTGATACTCTTTCTAGGTTAAGAGAAATGGTAATGACAAACACGCCAGCCCCACGCAGTTTTAAAAATGGACCTTGCATTTTCTATCAAATTTGCCATATTGGACGCACGTATTTCCTCAGACTGGTGACTCATTTAATGATTACCTAACGACCTATTTTCAGAGGCTTTTCACATAAACTTTATTGGACAAAGACTATAAATATAGATACAGATAAGAATATCAATGAAATGAATAAAGCCCAAAAGGAGAGGGCTCGAACAGGACACTGAGACCCATGTGAGGCACCTACCCATCGTGTAGACTTCATTTTGGTCAAAATTATATGGTGAAAGGATTTTAAACTGACAACAAAAAACGGTGAACCATGTGGATGGAAAAACTGAAATTTTAATAGTCAAGTTAGAAAAGTACCTTGAAAACAGATTTCACAACTACAATGGGACATTCAAGTAGCGAAGAATGACCTGATTCTGTAGAAAATAAAGAAGTTCTGCAAGGTGAAATCTAGGTAGTTAAATATTAAGCTTTTTGTGCGCTTCAATGCAACCGCACAAGACATAGCTGACAGCAACTATAGTATGATGTGAGTAAAGAATTTCTCCCTAGCTGATGTAACAATATTGCGTGCGAGGTATTCTTCAGTTATGTTTGCTTTTCATGACAACAGTTTTGTTGATTTTTTTTTTGTTTGTTCACAAGGTTGCTTGGCATTTCTTACAGGATTGCTTGGCAGCAAGAACAGATGTCTAACCATGGTGAGGAGGTAGGGGTTTAAACTGTATTTAGTTTCGGTATCTAACTTTGTTTTGCTATCTCATATCTACACCACATTCGCTTTTCCTAGGCTAACGATCAGGAGCAGATGTCCAGCCATGGTGAGGAGGTAGGGTTTGAATGCAACAAACGACAATTGAATTGCTCTTTACCACAACTGTGACTGTATCTTTTTTTTTATGTATCTAACTTTGTTGTACCAGCTCTTATCTACACCACGTTCGTTTTTGCTAGGTTAATGAGCAGGAGCAGATGTCTAGTCATGGTAAGGAGGTAAGGGTCAAAATACAATAAACGACAATTGAATTGCTCTTTACTGCAACTGTATCTCTATTTATTTTCTTCCTTAACTTCATTTTACCATCTCTTATCTACATCTCGTTTGTTTTTTTCTAGGTTAATGAGGAGGAGCAGATGTCTAGTCATGGTGAAGAGGTAAGGGTTTAAATGAAACAAAATACAATTGTATTGCTCTTTATGACAACTGTAGCTGTATTTATTTTCTGTATCTAACTTTGTTTTACCAGCTCTTAGTTTTCCACTACGTACCATGAAAGTAAATGCAATAAAGAAGTGATTGTTAAATCATGCCATTGGGTTTCAACAGCGGTTCTCGGCCGATCGCACATCGCAGTTGGAATTGCGACAGTGCAAAAAAATTACAATAGTCTATTTATCTGTTCACCTCCTTGTTGTAATTCTTGTGATAATTGTGTCAGTTGAGCAAAACAAGAGGGAGCTTTTATTACCACACCATCAACTACCTGGTATGAGCCCAGAATAAAATGAAATCGTGGAATTCGTCACAGTTGTCCCAATTAGTTGTTGCACTTTACAACAATGCATGCAGAAGTGATGACATTTAACTGTCATTTCCAAGATTCTGTCTGGAAAATTGGAAAATAAACAAATGGATGCTTAAACCATCCTCCTACCCAGCATCTTTGCTCCCTTTGACCAGTTCATTTTGTCAAGCCAGCATACACAGTAATGAAGACTCAAGGTACAATATTGATGCTTAAACGTAAGACATGGGTTGCACTGTGGACTTTTTTGTTTTTTGTCACACAAGTTTGTCGGGGCATTTACCCTAAGAGGGGTCACACGTTTGCGACATAAAAGATATATGGTGTCATTCTGATCATAATCATTATAATGTCGGCCCAAAGCTGAAAAGGACTTTCTCATCACTAAAGCATCATCACTTGCTTTGGCTACACTTTTCTTTTAAGACATCTTCTCTCCCGAGGATGCTTCTTTGTGAAACTGAAGGCTGCTCTAGACTGGGAGGTAATGACAAAGCTGCTTGTGACTGTGCGTTTTGCTGCTGAAAACAAATCGGCTGCAAGTCATTTCCAATATGCTACGAAAACTGAAAGCCTTGAAATTCATACGGGTTAAAGTGGTTGGCCATACTGAAGAATTACAATTGATTGTGACAATTGGGAAAATGTTGAAGAGCTCTGTACACATGATGTGCGCTTGTGTTGTGATATCTAATTTAATTGCAGAATTTCAGATTTTATTGATATTGTCACAAAAGAAAATAAAAAATTTTTTAAGGCCATTAGGCAAGATGTGACCTGCTTCATGACAGAATATCAGTCTCTTTGACCTTAAGGCATCACGGACATAGTTATGTCTGATGTGATCGCGATATAAGGGTCGCACATGTCGCGAGCATGCGATGACAGAATTTATGTCCAATGTAAACATTGATCCTGTTCATTTTTGCTAGAGAGCCACAGCAAGCTGAGTTTCCATCGCAAGTGGAAACAGCCGAAGTCAAAAGGGAAACCTAAACACCCAGTGAAAGTCCATGTTTGGGCAGGCATATCAAAGAGGGGGCCAACAGAATTCATGGAGTTTGAAGGCAACATGGACGTGCAGTTTTGTCTCTGATCTCCTCAGCAATGGGCTGCCACCATTTATCCGAAGAACCTTCCCTGACGGTCATCGATTCCAACAAAACGATAACCTGAAGCATACCAGCCATCTTGCCACCAACTTCATGGAAGACTACAGGATCAACTGGTGGAAAACCCCTTCTGAGTCACCAGATCTTAACCCCATTGATACGCTTTGGCACGAGCGAAAGCACTTCCTTAGAAACATCATAAAACCGAGAACAAAGGAAGAGCTAATCAATGGGATAGAAAGATTTTGGAATGAGAGAATGGATGCAGAAAAGTGTACGAAGTATATCAGGCACTTGCACAAAGTCTTGCCGATAGTTGTTGAGCAGCAGGGAAAACCTTCCAGAAACTAGTTCCCGGCTGCACTCTTCAGACACTGACAAAAACAACTCCTTTAGGAGGCACTTCTAATAGAAGTGATGACCAACACTGTCCAGTACATGTAATCCCATGAGAGAACATTAAGTCAAATTCTTAGTTTCATTATTAATAGAAACTTTGAATTCTCCAGGACATTCGATTGAATCGAAACCTGGCCATTTCTGTTTCTTCCTTTTTTTCGTTTGTAAGGAAACACATGCAGAATAACATTTATGACAACCATGGTGTTTATGTTGATAAGTAAGAAAATAACAGTGGTGACATGAATTTATCACACTTTCTGCCGACCATGTTTGAACTCACATATTTCCAAGGGATACTCAGTAGATGGCTGTATATTTAGGTTTTCTATCATCTTTGTTACCCAGACTGTGAAAGCTTTTAAGGGACACTTAATCAAACATATTTTAAATGTTAATAATGTAAATTCTTAATATTCAATTTTAAATGTTGTAAATTTTTAAATCTTTAATACTGTAATTAATTTTAGACTCCTTTCCCATTTTGTTTATTCATTTTAATTGACGTATTTTTATCTTTTTTATTCCTTTTGTAACTGAAAAGCCCCTTTGGGGAGTTGCAAATAAAGTATGTATGTATGTATGTAGGAGATATAACAACACAACTGCTTAGCTCATTGACTGAGTCAGTGTTTTCCATCTGGGACTCCAGGCCAGTAAACAGAATGGACGTACGAGATTCTGATTCTATATTTATGCAGTGTATGTAACACAAGCCAGAAGTCAGCATCAAGAATCAAAAACTGACAAAAAAAGTTACTCTGAAATCATAATCAACAAATGGATAAAAATAAACTGAATCATAAGAAACTTATTGAAATTGAGCGACAAAACAAACAACAACTAGACAAGCCCTGACAATTTTGATTCGCATCAACCACATGTAAATATCAAACATGAGCTGCTTCTAGAGTTTCTAACTTCTATCGAGCTGTAAAAACAAAACCCAGCATCGAATTGAAAACTGACCAGAAAAGTTACCCTGAAATCATCAGCAAATGGATTAAAGATAGCTCTGAGTCGAAAGAAATGTGTTCATACCAAGCATCAACACAAACAACTGATTGGAAGAAGCTGGTGATTTTGAGTCGCATGAGCACTTTGAGAGTTAAAGTTTCTGATTTCTATCGAGCCCTTCGCATAGTTGATTTAAACCAAACTCAGCATTATCTTCAGAACTGTTACTCTGTTGTTACTCTGAAATGAATGATAATTAACTCCAAATTGAAAGAAGTTCAACCGAGGGACAAATCAATTGATTTAAATAAGCCAACTGATTTACAAATGTAGAGTCCCTTACCGCCTCTAGTCGCAACTCGAAAATTTCCCTGTCTGCAAAAGTAAACCAGTAAGATTGACATGTACGTGTATTTGGAATAATTAATCGAGCGATAAATTCTTTTGTCTCCTCGACTCAAAACTCGAAAGACTCAACTCGAAACTTGAGCGACTCAATTCGAAACTTGAACGACTTGACTCCAAACTCAAATGACTCAACTCGAAACTTGAACAACTCGACTCGAGACTTGATACTTGAAGTTTTCGAGTTTTGAGGATTGAGGATCAAGTTGAGTCATTCGAGTTTCAAGTGACTGTCAACTTACATTTGACCAGTACTGTAAGGTGGTTCAATCCACCTTACAGCAAAAATGTAGAAATGAGTCGGGAAATGCTTTCTTTCACTTGTTGACCTATACTCCTAAGTCAAATCCACTTCATAAAATCTTTAACCGCAACACTCTAAAACTGACTTTAGCTGCATGAGCAACGTCAGGACCATAATCTCCAACCACAATAAGGCTGAACTTAACAACAAATTAAAATCCTTGGATGAAACGAAACGGGTCTGTAGTTGCCATAACAACAATTCTTGCCCCCTGGACAGAAATTGTAATGTGATGAACATTATTTACCAAGTAGAGGTCACCACCCCAGAATTGAAAGAAACATACATCAGTCTTTGCGACACAACTTTCAAAGAAAGGTATAGAAACCACGTGCTCTTTCAGAAACAAACGGTACCGAAATGTAACTGAACTAAGTAAACACATATGGAATCTGAAAGACCTTAAAATAAATTACAAAATCAAATGGAAAAAAGTGAAACAAGCGAAATAGTATTCAAACATCAACAAAAAATGTAACCTGTGTTTATGGGGAAAGTTTCTCATCATTTGTAAACCTGAAATGGCAACACTTAATCATAGAAATGAACTGACATTGACCTGTAGACACCCTAAGAAATTTCTGTTAAATACCGTGATTGCTTAATTGTATTTTATATACAAGACTGTTACACTTTCATCATAAAATAGCATCTCGACATGTCCTGCTGTAAGGCATTCTTCCCTATTTTTAAATGTGTATATCTAAGGTTATAACTGTTCTTTGTGACAGTTGCCTGATGATTGCTTTGCAAGAAGCATGAAACTTGGAGTAGCGAATAAATGTGTCTGAATTAGTCCGACTCCATAAATCTATTTATATTCCCATTATTCACTACTATTTAATATTTGTCAGAAATCACTGTGAATCACCTTCCAAAGGGAACAGGTTGGTGATTCAAAGATAAATGAGGCAGTTAGTTGTTATTTTTCTGCTCATCCTATACAATTATTTCATATCCGGGGGGCAATTTACTGTGAATCGCTGATGAACTTGGGCAGAGTGATGTGATCCTAACTGCAGAAAATGTGATTCTCCCCAGAGCTTGCTACTTAAAAGTCCTTCCAGTTCAACTGAATGGCAGGGTTGGTTCAGTGGCTTAGTAGTAAGACATCTGACCAGTTACCAGGAGACCTGGGTTCGATTTCTGGCTGAACACATTTTCACTCATTTCTTTGTTGCTTCAATTTCTGTTCCCATCATTCACTACTATATATCTATATATATAACTGCAGACAGTACTGTTCGGCGTTCTGGGCCTCATCAGTGTACTGCTAATGCTAGGATGGAGAAGCCATATGGTCACCCCAAACGATCCCACACTGGTGGTATCGTCTAAGCCATGCCAGAGTGCTCAAACTAGTTCACTAGTGAGCATGGGCAATGCGGGGGAGGGGGGATCTTAATAGCCAAAATTTTTAAAGGAAAGTTTGATGTATGAACTGGAATTTCTGTTGGGGTTTGGAAATTCAAACCTAAAAACCTTCCCTGAGTGAGGAATGGATATTTCCTGGAACACCACACTAATGACAATAATTATATTTTGCTGCCAAGAATGCATTCTTAAAGGTCAGAACAGACAAGGGGACTTGTCACAGCGACTTGTCTTGGTTAGGTAACAAATTAAGATAAAGAAGGATTTATTTGCCTATGCTTGGTTACAAAATGTATTTTTAATGCCATTGGTCTGTTTGTAAAAAAGGGGCCTATCCATTGTTCTCAATTAACATTTAAATGGTCAAGTGGCCTGGTTTGAGTGTATACTATGTGAATATAGCCTTTCTTTTAACATTTTGTTTATTTTTATCCTAGACATGACTCAGACCACAGCAGATTTAATTGTAATGGTGGCTCTAGGAAAACCATCCATAAAAGAAGTGAAGATGGATCAATTACAAAAGATGAAAAAAATCTTCAACCTTGGCCTTTTACGAGGCAAGGACAAGATGACGCACATTAGAGCAATTGCAAATTTACTCCGCAAGGAGGGCTATATTACCATACATGACTCTAAGGAGGAAGATCAGGGATCACTGACTCGTGATGATGTTAAAGTAGTCAAGGAGATTATTCTGGAAGAGTCTACAGCAAAGGACTCTTAAAAATTGCTGAGTATGTACTTAACTGGATGTTTAAGTAGACTTGCCATAACAAGTAGGTGGTATTGTGTACCAATTCCGCAACACACTTTTGCAAGGCAAGATAGTTTACTGTTGAAATTTACGGTTCAAGTGTTCTCAGCTTGGCTCAGAAGTGTTCTTGAGTTTTCATCTTCAATGTGCTTGTCAAAGAAATTCAGTTTTGTCATTGCCATTTGTCAAGGATCAGGGATTGCTGACGCGTGATGATGTTATAGTAGTCAAGGAGATTATTCTGGAAAAGTCTACAGCAAAGGACTCTTAATTGCTGAGTATGTACTTAACTGGATGTTTAAGTAGACTTGCCATAACAAGTAGGTGGTATTGTGTACCAATTCCGCAACACACTTTCACAAGGCCAGATAGTTTACTGTTGAAATTTACGGTTCAAGTGTTCTTAGCTTGGCTCAGAAGTGTTCTTGAGTTTTCATCTTCAATGTGCTTGTCAAAGAAATTCAGTTTTGTCATTGCCATTTGTCAAGGAGATTTTTCGGGACTTTGTGTATGTACATACATGACAGCAGTATTTTCTTAAAATATATGCTGGATGTATTCTATGTTTAAATAGTCTTGCAGCTACAAGTTGGTGAAAATGTTCACATTCTATAAGATTTCTGTGAAGCAGGGTACTCCTTCGTGACCAGAGAGTTAACTGTTGAATTTGAAGCTGAAAGTGCATTAGCGGGGCTTAAAAGTATAAAATATATATCTATTTTTATCTTCCCGTGTTTGTCTGAAAACATTTGCAGTTTAGCCAAAGTTGGACCAATAAAATGAAAAATAAGAGCATGACATATACTTTTGGGCCCCAGCAGAAGCACCCCAAAACTGTTAATAATTATCATTATTCTAAGCATACTGTCAGTTCAGATTTGTAATTTATCACTGACAAAGATTATAATCAAGGCATAAAATTGAGTGAATCCTTTTTAAAGAACAAAAGGCTTTACCTGTATTAATAGCTATGTTTTTTTCCACAATGCAATAGAGAGCATTCTATTTCAGGATAGGTCTTTCTTTTTTAGTTTTTTTTGCTACTGTTTTTTATGGTACATCAAGTGTGGACAGTTTTTAACTTCATGATGTATCTGTAAGCCCAGTTCAAAATAACTTAGTAGTGAAAGGCAGAAGTCTTTTAACTTTGCACTTCTTTACCTGAAACAAACAACACTGTCACATGCACGAGCATGTAGCAGTTCAGTTATAGTTATTGTCAGCAACTTTGTAATTTAATTAATCTAATTGTTAATTTGCATCAATTTTATTGACTTAGATGCAAAAACAGATGATATTTTTGTAGTAACAATAAAAAAATACCAGAGAGTATGCTAAAATTAAGCTTTATCTGTTTATTTTTCACCTCTGTAAGATAAATTACATTACACTGGTCTTGACCCAACAAATGGACAGCTGGGGTGTTGCACATATATTTATTGCTAAATTGTGTGCAGCTGTGGTGTAGATATCGATTGGCTATTAAAATTTCCCAGGCGGGAAGGCTGCAAATCCCAAAACAGAAAACTCCAAAAACCAAGTTTGGTATGTTGAATACCAACCCTGGAATTACATTAATTTCCATTATGGTTTTCCATTTTTCCAAAATAGGGAAAGTGGTT